CAATATGGTTCATGGGGTCACGAAGAGTCGGACACGACTTAACGACTGAACAACAAAATGTCTACACATAAAATAAGTATAGCTTTATATGTATCATACTCCAAAATATTTTCTCAAAATATCCATCAATTAGAATGTAAAACTTAAAAAAGGGAACATAAAATGTGTAAATCACCTTCAAATATTTACATTTTTAGTTTTATACATAACAGTGTTTTATGAGCTTGTGATTATTTCCATGGAAAAAAAGTTGTATTTTTAAATTAAAATTTGTATTTATTTCATTAAATTTAGTATAGCTGCCACTACAGCAAACTCTGGGCAGCTTACAAAATGTAATACTAACTTAAAACAATCAAAAATATAGACAAAACAAAACAGACCAGACTAAAAACAACCATTAAAACAGAGCATGATGGCCCCTTCACAATGGCCCTAACACACTGACCCCAGGATTGGGACTAAAGCCTTAAGGACTTTTTGAAACTCCAGGAGAGAGAACGCCATCTTTATCTCTGGGGTGGGTGTTTTCCAGTGGGTGGATGCTTTTCCAGTATGGCAGAGAAGGCACACTTCCTACTTCTCACAAGATGGCAATGTTTAACCGAATAGCTAAAAGGAATTACACAAGGGAAATGATTCCCCATAATGTTGGAAGATAGTTATTATATGATTTAATAAAATATATACAGTTAATAATTGTTGATAATTGTTATATGATATATAGGCAATAATTTATTGATAGTAAGTGATGTCATAGTAAAGGCCAATATTCTTTCTGTGTATTCAAAATCTTAAGTCTCAAAATGTATACTGTTCATATAACATACCAACACAATTTTGTCCTGAAACATCTGATTCATAGCCACTGTTACAGTTACAACGATAGCTGCCACGTAGGTTTTCACAAATCCCATTAGAGCAAATATCAGGATCTAAAGCACATTCATTTATATCTGCAATCATAATATAATTGGTCAGAGTATATTTCTGCAGCACCTTTTATTAAAAACCCAATGTTATATTGTATATAAAGTCAGCATTGATTTATATTTAATATAAGCATCAATAGATGAATCATCTTAGTTAAAAATCTAGGGACATATACATTGTTATTTAAAAATAGCAGCATCAAAATATTCAACATATAACAATATATTAGAATGAAATCAATAATATGTAGTTCTAAAGAAAAGTCTGTAGTCATTATAACAGTTTACCTGCACAAGAGTACTTAAAGTATTTTCTGCATGTGCATATTATTATGGAACATTACCTCTTCCATCCACAGTAATTCCTACTCCTCCACTACAAAGGCCATGGAACTCAGCTTCTCATGAGAAAATAAAAATGGTGAAGCACAACATAAGTAGAGCAATTATATTAGCTTTTAATATTTTAAAACATTTTGCTGAATGGAGTTAAATTCCTTGAAAGTTCTGCTTTTGTTCACACACATTTCAACACAAAATAATCTCATTCATCTGTAAATAAAACAACTTCAAAAAGACTTCTTAAAATAACAACATAATTTTACTGTATATACTCATTACACATATTACTTACATTACTTACTATCAACAGATTATATCTTCATTTACAGTGCAGAATAATATCTTCTCAACTCTGCAATATTATTGTGTACTACATACTACCCCACCTCCACACGCTCCAAAATCCCTGGACAATTACACTACATTGCAGCAGAGTAGTAACTCAACTAATAATTTTACCATTGGCAAAGTTGGTAAAATATAATTTTATGGAATGCAAGTATTATTGCCTTAAAAACAAATCTGAAAGTATTGGTTTAATATTCAATATCCTCTATTTTTATATTTAAAAAATTAACAGCCGTTACTGTTAATCTCCAAAATGTTTTCTAACCAAAATACTTAACCAGAATCAGAGCAATTGTTCTACCATAAACACATACACAGCTGTTTGCATGAGACTGTTATAGAATATGAGTAAATAAGCTTTTTGGAACAGAATCCAGCTTAACATCTGAATCCAATTCAATTCAACTTCATTTAATATTTGGATTAATTTATTATGAATGTCTTTTGTACATGCACTTTGCTTTCCACATTCTTATTTTGTGCTATCCTTCAGTGTGAACTGTACAGTGCTCTAGTTTTTACTAAAACTGAATTCAACCCATTCTGAACTTTTTATGCAAAGTGTGTTCTTTGTATATAAGCAGTGTGTAATGCACTAAGCAATATGAACCTTAAAGGGAGACAGGGATGTATGTTACTAGTGGTTTAAAGCCAAATAATGTTTCCTACAGAAAAACATACATAAGTACTAAACTCCCACTAAAAAACAAAGAGATATACTTTGACATGAAACTGATTTGAAACAGCATTGAAAGCCCAGCAGAAAACAAATGTCCAAGACACATAATATAATATTTTGGGAGACAAAGAAAGAAGCCTTTTCCTCTCTTTGTTTGCATTGCTAACAAAAAAGGCAGTAGATTCTTCACAATAAAAACTGCTTTTAAAAATACAGATTTATAAGATCTTATATAAGATCTTATAAAAATACAGATTTATAATCTGTCATTTGATTATAATTTATTACAGGCAGTCCCCAGGTTAAGAAAGTCCAAGTTACGGACAATTCATACTTACGAATGGGCTGCCTATTACTAAAAATGGGGGACAGTGTTCTCCTTCCTTGACCCAATAAATCACTGAAGCCGCACAATGTTTTCATGAACTGCTGAAGCCACACATTTTTAATATACAGCCTGTTTTCAGCAGTTCATGAAAACATTGTATGGCTTCAGCGCTTCGTCAGCTCGAGGAAGGAGAGTACCCTCTGCCATTTTTAGTAATAGGAAGCCCATTCATAAGTACAAGTTCTGACTTACATACAAATTTGAGTTAAAGACAGACTTAGGAACAGAACTCATTCTTAACCCAGGGACTGCCTGTATTTGTATCAGGTATGAAATCCAGAATGATACCCCATTACCTGAATTCTTGGCAGGACATGGGTGGCATGGCTCTCCAAAGCCATAGTCTAAATTGGCACAGCAACATTCAGATTTTGTCACTGCTCCAGGAAAAGGGCGTATACATATCCCCTTTTTGATTCCACCATAACATGTGCTTCGCATATGAGTATCTAAGAGAAGATGGACAAAGAAGTACATAAAATGTCTTACTCCAAAATGATATAAATAAGTATTCTCATTTTAAAAAATGAATCCAATTTTTTACAACTTATATTTATGGATTCATATGGAATTTAAGACTTAATTTTTGTAAAATTCCATACCAATCAATTATTAACATCCAGCTGTGATTTATGTAATTACATTTAAGGACTGTTTCTAAATGGGCATTCTACCTATGTTACAAGTTATTTCCTTTGTATCATACTAAAGTTTATCAGTTAATTTCCTGGAGGAAAACATGCTATTTCAGGTATGAAAGAATCCATGTTTTGCTTTATATATGTATGTATGTATGTATGTATAATCTAAGAAATATTTGTTGTAACAGGTGATAATACTTAGCTGATCTTGGCTAATGTGAAAACAGGTTAAGAAGGATTGGACCCAATTAGCACTTGAATAGGAAACCACTAGTAAATCCAAAGGCTGTAGGCTAGACCTAAAATGTTTTCTTAAAGTGGAAAAAATACTTACCTACACAAACACGACCATCAACTCCAACAGCTAGTCCAGGTGGACAGTCACAGCGAAACGATCCTTCTGTATTAATGCAGTGGCCATTCATGCAAATACCTGGAGTCTGGCATTCATCAATATCTATTAAGAAAAAAAGAAAATTGTACTCATGTGAACACCAATGCTCATATTGCTTAAAAAAATCAAGAATCCTACTGAGGTATGTAGGATTGCTTGATGAACAGATAATGTGGCTTTTATTAGTCAATAGATTTTTCCTACCGTTTTTAAAACAGTTCGCTATGCTACATCCTCAAACTATCATATAACTTACACCCTAATGTGGTTGAGCACTTGGGACCACTTTTTTAAAAAACTATTTTCTGCAGCCAAGAGAAGGTCCATAATATCATGAATTAGAAGTAAATGGAGCCCTTTTTCTTTATTTTACTTGAAGTTTCTCGGCTTCTTTTTCCTTCTGCTATTTTAAATGATTAAACTTATCCAAAATCTTAATGAGTGCATTTTGTTCCCTAGCCCAAAAGAAAAAAAAAAAAGTACCATTGATTTTCTACTGAATTTTATCAGTGGGGTCCTGGGGATTGGTGCAATTCCAGACAGTCCACAAAAAGATTGTCTAAGAACTGTGAAGTATTCTTATGCTATAAATTAGTGTTATGTATAACTAATTCCCCATGGTCGTTCAACAACTATTATTGAAAACAATCTGGTTTAACATTATGTGTAGCTACAGTGATGTGTCTGGTTTCAATTCTGCAATTTTATTAAACATTTTAGCAACAAAAAGGTAGCATATGCATGCAATAAATAATAAATATTTCCATTACACTTTCAAATTCAGAAACACATAACAATAATAAGATTCACTGGGAGTTGGGTGGCATATAAATTTAATTTAATTATTGTTGTTTTTGGTGTTCTATGTATAGAACTTTTTTTTAATACAAATACTGGTCTCATCAAGATAGGTGTAATATATGTACCAGTACAGTAACGTCCATTAGGAGCCAGGACAAACCCAGGTTTACAGATGCACTTGAAACTGCCATCCTCATTAATACACATTCCATTCAAACACATGTTGGTAGTTGTACATTCATCATGATCTGGAAAATAATGCATTACAGATTACAACTGAAATAAAATCTGAAATCCTTTTTTAAATCCTAAAAGATTTTTTTTTTCTGTTAGGAGATAGGATTCTGATCTAATGGAAGCTCTTGATTTAGGACAAAAAGAGGTAGGCAGTTTTTACTAATTTTCTTCCTTGTGCCAATCCCCATTACCCCCCACCCCAAAAGCTAACAGTATCCAATAGAATTTCTTAATGCTTGGAGTGCATCTTTAGCAGTGCAAGTTGCAAGCTTTAATCAGGACAGTTGCATCTCCCATTAGTAGTAAATGTGAGCAATTATAACTAAAACAAAACAATTAATTCAAAACTTACTTAAAAAATAAAATAAAATAAAATAAAATAAAATAAGAAATGCATACCAACACAGTTTTTCCCATCAGTTGTCAGTTCAAAGCCAGCATTGCAAATGCATTGGAAACTTCCATCAGTGTTCACACAACGACCATTCTTACAAAGGACACCATTCTGAATACACTCATCAATATCTGAGAAAAACAAAAGTAAACATTTCAATAACCAGCTATTATTTTCTTTGCTAGAGTTTTATGACTACCTTCTTCTATGAATCATGGGTACCCAATGATTTTCTGACTCAAGAGCCAGAAGTGGGACTTACAGAGGTCAAAGGTGGAGCAGCAAGAAAGAAAATGGATATAGGCAAAGCATAAAATGGGTATCTAATACAAAAAACACATTTTTTAAAATCCCTTCAACTTTTCAAATAAATTTACTCCTGATGTCATCTTTAAAACCACAAATTTTAACTGAACAAAAGTTCCTGGCAGATTAAGAAGGAGCCCAAGTATCTTTTTCTAATAGCGATAAAATTAATTAAAACTAAGCTATGACCCTGGCCAAGGACCAAGATGCCATACTCCAAGTATCAGTTGCCTTCATAAAAATAATGTGTAGCTGCACATGACACAATTCAAATCAGGACTCTTTAATCAATGCCCACTACTGAGGCCCTAATTTGGATTGCTACATTTTTTCCCAAACCATTTTCCCCCAGTGGAAACAGTAGTTTGAGGACTATTTTGAACATGTGTGGTATTCTTCTGCTTGCTTAATATGAATTCCCCCTCTGGCTATAACTTTTGGAATAAAACAGATGACCAGATTTAAAACAACATATAGTTCCAGTGACCATATGCTTGTTGTGCAGAGCCATGAGAAATTATATTAATTGAAAACTTCCAGAGTTAATCATGGCATGCTGAAAAGAAGCTGGATGTACAGAAATACAACTTATTTATTTATTATTATCTAAATGGAGCACTCAAGGCAGCAAGAAGGTTACAACTTTTCATCTTTGAACGTCATACTGAAATCTGAGCTCTCCCAGCCAGCAGAATACTCTTTATCGCCTGCTATTAACTAAGAAACAACCTTGCAGAGAGAGTCCAATATATGCTGGGAATCAGTAGGCCTGTGGGCTATAATTATGATCCTATCATCAGGATCAAAATAGGCCTAAAAGCTTCTTCAAACTTTTTTGGTCCTTTTCTGGTAAGTATTAACTTGCAAACAATGTAAAATGTGGTTGGAAAAAAGGATCACTGAAATCTTGTTAACAGAACCAGTAACTGTTTTACTGGAACTGCAATATGTTCTGTGCATGTGGAATGTTGCTTTAATTTTTCATTGTTCATTCTCAAAATGAGATACATGTGTGTAGATCACTGGAGTTAAGCATGGTACACCCAGTTTGTCAAATTTTGCTTCACTATACCATAAATTTAATTAGATACCTGCAAACATTAAACCATTGACAAAATAATCTTGTTTTTAGAATTGAAGAAGGATCAGACTCAGGTCAAATATAAGCATACATAGAATGTACAGATGTACAAATAACATTTCCATACCAATGCAAGCCTGCTTAGTAGGTGTTCTTTGGAAACCTGTATGGCATTTGCAATAATAAGAGCCAGGTGTGTTCACACAGTCTCCATTAGAGCATGGATTTGATATGCACTCATCAACATCTATTGGCATCAGAAAACAGTACAATCAGATTTCATAATTTGTACATCGTCTTTTTCACAAAATACATTTCATAAACATACTCACTCTGCAGTGAGATGGGCGGTGACAAATTTGAAATATAAATAAATACAATTAGCTTACTTCATTCAATGTACCATTTTAAAAATGTTTTCTTGAATCATAATTGTCAAACTAAAATATGTTTAATATAAACTATCCATTCACTTTTTCAAAAATAGAAAATAGTATTTCATTCCATACAAATAAAATCTTCAAAAAGGAAACAAACAAATATAGAACTTTACACACCACTAATTATTAAGGTTGAGTACATTCTCATTTTTTTTTCTGTTGTTGATTCTAGTGATCTTGTTATAGAGATTTAAATATTTTGGCTGTTTTTAATAAAATATGACTAACAAACAAACCAAAATACAATATCACAGAAGTCAGGTAACATTAAAGTATTCCCTAGTCATAGGTCCTTATTCTGCAGAAAAGCTATTGCTTAAGTAATTATGGGCAGCACCGTCCCTGCAGACACTTCCTTATGTTCTTGCCAAATTTCTGCTCTGCCTGACTTAAAAAATTAAGCTGCTTCATTTTTTTTAAAGCAACTGACATTCTGCAGAGCAAATTGCAATTATTAGAGCATCCAGCATTATTTTTTTCCCAACAGTACTTTTGCCAAGAAGCACTGTGGAACAAAAAATAATGGCTTCATAGATATTCTTTGAAAGTAAAGGTTACAAGTGACTAGCCCAAAGCTTTGTTTGGCAGGGTGCCCATTTTTAAACAAAGTATGTCTAGAAAAAATCAGTATGTGTGCCTAGTCCAAAAAGGTGCACACATCTGTGAGAGAACCCAAAGCATCTTCCCAAAATATCAAATGCCTGCATCAGCCCAGAAAGGGCTGATATATGTATTTGTTATCCAATCCTATGCTTTTCACGAACATTGGTTTAAATGAATATCCATTTATACTTTTGTTTTTGAATGAAATGCATTAAAAGCTTGAACATATAATAACATATACAGTATAAGCTTTTGTTTAAGGCACAGATATTCAAACAACAAAATGATAAGCATTCCTGGTCAGACCAAGATCATGACAAGTATAGATACCTACTTGAAATGAGAGGAGTCTGCAGGTTATAAAATTAAATAACACTTCCGTTGCTGAATTCTATAGGTTGTAAAATTAAAAAGCTTATCCTTCATTGTTGATTTCAAACTAGCCAACAAGTTAAAACTCCTTGTCAATTTGCCACAGTGGTGTTGGAGATGTAGGATAAAAGCTCAGCCCTCAATTAAGCAATGGTCAAAATTCCCAAGGATGATTTTATTTGGGCTACCGGATCTAGAGTGCAAAAATCTGATCAACATTAGTAGCAAAGAGTGATACACTTCTTGGTGCCATCTCATGGTCATCCAGATTTTTGCAGCATAATCTGATAATCCTAATTTCACTGCAGATGTGAAACAAATTAAGGAGTCTTAACCACTTCAAAATTTCACTTCTAGAGAAGAATGATCATTCTATTATCTTGAACACTTTCATTTTAAGTAAACAGCAATAATGTTTGATTGCTATCACTAGTGTCTACTCTCCCCTGAAATGGAAATAAGAAATTCCTAGGCCTTAAATATAGCACAGTAATGGATCTTTTAAACTAGCCAGGAAAACACCTGCTATTCACTGCCTGATAATAAAGAAAATTTGTAACATTAATTATACATCACTAAGTGCAGACTCATACATTAATTCTCCTGCAGACTCACATATTAACTTTATGGAATTTTATTTTGGTATAAATTCTATTCTCTTAAAAGACTAATTACCCTCAGTTTACTAAAAGGAGAAAGCTTGCTTGCAACTCCTTTTCCCAAATCTCTTTTGAATTTCTATTAGTGTATGTTACTGCCCAGAGAAAGTTCTAGTATGGCCTGAGAATATATCCAAGATACTCTTGAAACTCCCAACTAAACATCTATGCTTGCAGCCTATTCCTACATATTTTTTCCAGTTAATGATTTAGTTCAGTATGAAAATATCTGACCACTTCAGTCTTTCAGTTTAATCTACCACATATTCCCTTTGTTCCCTTTTCTGTATCTTTTTTATACTTTCACTTTTCATCTTTCTGTCTCAAGCCAACTCTTTTCTGTACTGGACAGATAGTTTATGGATCCTCAGATAATGATAGCACAGAGTACTAAAACAACACTGTTCCATACAGCAAGCATAATTCCCAAATCTCCTATTACTCCTATGGAAGATTTCTCAGTGTCTGGAATCAGATTTAAAGTCCACATGGGAACACACGCGTCCAAATAACTGTGATAGCAAACCTGATTCTATGAAGTTTTGTTGTGGTGGTACTTATAACTGTTTTGGTAATCTCTTCATGTATGTAAAACAGACTTCAAAAATCCTGTACACGCAAAAGGTTATTCGTCAAGCCCCTAATGCTTTTTTTATCCTTCTAATAGTATACAGGTAGTCCCTAGTTTAAGAAGGAGTTCTGTCCACAAGATCTGTCCTTAAGTCAAATTTGTAAGCCAGGGTTATTGTATAATATTGTATAAGTAGTATTGTGTCGTTAACTTGAACCATTGTGTATTTAACTCAACTCATTGTGTAAGTAACTCAAATTTTGCTGCTACAATAGGCTCTGTTCTTATTTATTTATTTATTAAACTAATTTATATAGCTGCCCATCTCACCACAGGCGACTCTGGGTGGTGTACAACAAAGCCAAAAACAATCAGTGAATACATTAAAAACATAAAAAGCAAAATAAAACAGAGAATAAAAGGATCTTAAAAATAAGGGAGCCACCTCACTAATTCTCCCATCCCCTGGGGTTCCCAGGCCTGCTGGCATAACCAAGTCTTAAGGGACCTCCGGAAGCTCAACGATGATGAGGCCAAACTTACCTCAAGGGAGAGAAGATTCCACAGTGCAGGGGCCACAGCAGAAAAGACCTGCTGCCTGGGGCCTGCCAAATGTAGCTCCCTAGGCAATGGAACCCGTAACATGCCCTCTCTGCTGGATCTGGTAGGATGGGCAGATGAATTGGGGAGAGGCAGTCCCTCAGATAGCTCAGTCCCGTGCCATGAAGAGTTTTAAAAGTCAACACCAGCACCTTGAATTGGACCCGGAAACAAACTGGTAACCAATGCAGCTTGCGAAGCATAGGTATAACATGTGTTCTACTAGAAACACACATAACTGCTTGCACCACTGCATTTTGCACCAGCTGAAGTTTCCAGAAACTCTTCAAGGGCAGCCCCATGTAGAGCGCATTGCAGTAGTCTAACCTGGAGGTGACCAGGGCATGAGTGACCATGAGTAGGTCCCTCTGATCTAGGAATGGGTGAAACCGGTGCACAATACGAAGTTGTGCAAAGGCCCTCCTAGCCACAACTGCCACCTGCTCTCAAGCAGGAGTCGTGAGTCCAGGAGGACCCCCAGATTGTGCACAGGGTCTCTTTGGGGCAGCAACCCCATCCAGTACCAAAGATGGTAAAATCCCAGAACCAGAAGGGCTCAAAACCCAGAGCCACTCAGTCTTGCTAGGGTTCAATTGAAGCCTGTTGTTCCCCATCCAGATCCCCACACCCTCCAGACACTGAGATAGGACACCCACAGCATCACTTAAGTTGCCAGAGCGGAGATGTACAATTGAGTATCATCAGCATACTGAAGATACCTCATCCCATGGCGAAGGATGAGCTCACCCAGTAGTCTCATATAGGTCTTAACTATGGGTCATCCGTAAACCGGGTGTTCTTAACCTGGGGACTACCTGTACTCAATAGAATCTGATGTTAGGGACATTTGTTCACTTTAGTAGACATACAGTATGCATGTCAAAATCAAAACTAACAGTTATAGCACTATCCTAATTAATACTGTAACCATATTATTCATTTTTCATACAAAAATAAAATACTTGGCTTGATGTGGGAATACTAAGTCGAGGACTACCTGTACTGTACATATACAGGTATGTCTAAGTCTGGTAACTTAGTCTATGCCTTCTCTGTCTTACTAAAAGCTTATGTGAAAGCCATGATAGGTGGCAGTGAAGAGAGTACAGCAAAAGTGATGGCCATTCAGAAAATGAATAAGAATACTAGTTGATTAGTATCTGCTCAGAAAAAGGTCTGTTTGAATATGTGGGTTAAACCTAATATATACATTCAGATGGCAAAGAAATGTAAAAGCATGGTTATTTTATTGTTCATTACTGTATATTAAAGGCTGAAACTAATGTAGTATACAAAGATGAGGAGAGGTTCTGAATGTGGGACAGACTGTTTTTTTAGAAGTGTCAAGAATGAACTCTGGGGGAAATGGATATACAAATAAAAAAGTGAAAAAAAAATCCTAAAGTAAAAGTAAAATGACTGCAGGAAGAGAAGAGTATTAGAAAACAGGTTAATTCCCCAACAGAATTAAAGGAAAGTAAGGAAAGGAAATAAACATGTAAGGAAAAAGATATAAACATTACTTGTATCTAAGTAAAAAGCATTATTTTGCAGGGTGCTACAGAAGTATGTGGAATTGTACTACTAGGAAGTATGAAAAATGATGCTTGGTGGAATGGTGAAGGATCAGGATGTGGATGAAAAATGCATATAAGATAATGATTACTGCAGAAAAATGAGGAAGAAAAATGAAGAAAGATGAGAAAGATACTATATAATGTATAAAGAAAAAAGGCAATTGCATGAAAAATGTGAGAATAAAATCAAAGAGAACAAGAATATAATGTATAAAGAAAAAAGGCAATTGCATGAAAAATGTGAGAATAAAATCAAAGAGAACAAGAATATAATGTATAAAGAAAAAAGGCAATTGCATGAAAAATGTGAGAATAAAATCAAAGAGAACAAGAAACAGTTAAGATTAAAGTAGCAGAGAAAATGCAAAGTGATTTTTATGGAAAGAAAATTTGTTCTGCAGGTGGATAAAAAGAGCTAAACAATGAGCATCCTTAAGAAGGAATTCGATGAAATTACTTTGAATGAATTAAAGAGAAAGGTAGCAACAATGAATGCAAAAACTGCAGTTGTGTGGTCTTAAAGGTACCTGGGAAGGTGCCTGGCAGAATCTGGACTGAAATGGTAGTAATAGAGCAAAATTTAAGAATTGCAGTGAGACCTGATATTGGGCAAGGGGTATGACCAGATTTTTGCTCTTCAGAAGGTCACTGACAAAGGTATGAATGAAAGTTTAAGTTTTATGATATAAAGAAAGCATATGACTTATGAAATTGTGTGAATATGGAATTGAACATTTGTGCTCAATGAAGTACGAATGGTATATGATGGAAGTAAAGGATGCACAAGAATGGAATTCTGCTTAACACTGCAAGGAATAAGACAAGAATATCCCCTGATTTTTAACATTTACAGATGAATGTGAATGGAGCAGAGAAAGAAGACCAAAGAAGTTGTGGTTTGATAAAATTATAAAAATCCTCAAAAGAGAGATGTGAGAAGATTAAAGAAAATAAAGCAAAGCATGGACATGGGAGAAGCAAAGATAAAAAAGTACAGAAAGGTATGAACAAATGGTAATGGTAGAAACTAGACTGAACTATATTTCCTTTTCTTACCTC